TGAATAATTTCTTTATGTTGCTGTTTGGAGCTAAACTTTTTGAATCTTTGTTTGTTTTTATGGGACATTTACCCATGGAGCCTACATGCATTTAACGCTAACAATAACAAACTTTAACTATTTCAGTAGTAAAACTACTCACTATTTAAAGGTCAAAAAACGACCATTTTATTTACAATGATGGTACTAATTCAAATAGTGGAATTTTGACTATATCATCTGTAAATTCGGCGCTGACATTGTGTAATTTGAAATCATTGGATTTCTTTTTTAGGGCTTCACAAAATCACAAGTTTACAGCAACAACCCACGACTCTTGATGATCATGATGAGTGGCATCGTATATATATATATATATATATATATATATATATATATATATATATATATATACAGAGCTGCAAGCTCTCAGAAAACTTAAATCGTTTTTTTGATTTAAATCGTTTTAAGGACTTAAGTCATTTGGTAATAAGTCATTTCTCTAAAACTGACTTAAGACTTAAAATTTAAGTAATTTTCAAAATGATTTGTGACTTAAATATTTTTTTCAAAATAGAAAAAACTTAAGTCATTTATAAATCAGTACACACGATTTAAGTCAGATAGAAACGATTTAAGTCAAAAAAAGATTTAAGTCTTTTTAGAAAATATTTAAGTCAGATTTTTCATATATATTTTTATAAATTTTTAACAGCGGCATTTTCTTTTGAACTGCAGCAGATCAAAAACTCCTTTAATTTCCTACCTACAATTGCTACTGCTAGTGGATAAAAAAACCGCCGCGGTAAAGTTAGCTTTTTGGAACCGTTGGACGGCTACATTAAAAAATGTCCTGTCTAAAATAAATTAAAAAAAGTGGGGATTTATAATTTTGTTATTTTGTTTGCCAACATTCGTCATGTTCGTGCGTAGTTATGTCTAATTTGTGATGATTAGTGCAAAGTGAAAACAATCTGAGCGGTCGTGAATCGAGAGTTTGGAACTTCCCATCATTACTCCCTTAAGGGAGGAATATTTTTTTTCTAGATGGATGTTGAACCAGCTAACAAAAGTTAACAAAACAACAAGTTATCAGTTTTTGAAATACAGCGATTTTAAGAAAAATGCTTCAACTTTTATCTATTTTAACAGAGTTTGAATCTATTACCGTTTAGAAGTTACCCATTTATGTATATAAAAAAGTAGCCTCCCTGTATGTCTAATCTACTAAAAAAGGTGGTTTAAGTTTTTATTTTTATTGTCTAAAATATTCTCAAAAAATGTGTTTTAAGTTTTTATTTTGTTTGTAAGTGTTCTGAAAATAAATCGTTTTAAATTCTTAATATAGTGGTTTATTATCATCTGTATCTACAATAGATTAATAATATCAGTATCATTAATACCATAAAATTATTATTAACATTTAAAAAATCGTAGTATTGTAATTATTTTGATTTAAATCACAATTTTTGATTCAAGTCATTTTATTGACTTAACTCTTAGATCACGATTTAAATAAAAAATATAGACTTAAGTCATAAAAACGACTTACTAAAGGAATGACTTAAATCACTTTATATTGATTTAAGGATTTGCGAAAATGACTTGACTTGAAAGAAAATGATTTAATTCAAAGACTTAATACTTAAATCATTTGAACTTTATCTTAGAATTGATTTAAGATTTAAATCATCTTGATTTTGGAATTGACTTAAGACTTAAGATTTAAGTCTTTTTAAAACTGACTTGTTGCAGCTCTATAATATATATATAATCTGACATCTGTTAACCTTACTTTTTCCCAATTTAAAACCCGATTGGTTCAAATCACAGTGAATATTAAAATCAGCCAATCACTGATGCCTAACAACGTGAATAATGAGTTCATTATTCCCGTTGTTAGGCGGCGCGCAATAGGAGTAGAAAAAGATGTTTATAGATTTTAATTATTATAGATTGTTGGCTAAAAGGTAAACGTAATGAAGTTACATTAAAAGGTGCTCTCGTGCATTTGTTTATTTATTCCTCAGCTCATCAAACCCTATTTTTACACCCTGAGATCACCGGAGTTCTCCGTTATATCCCGTGTCCCGGTACGTTTATCTTAAATATTATATTATTTATCTACTCCTATTGCATAATAATGTTATTTTTGTAATAATAATAAACAATATAAATTCTCAGAATACAACGGGAATAATAAACTCATTATTCACGTTGCTAGGCATCAGTGACTACTGTGATTTGAACTGGGGTTTAAATTTGGTAAAAAGTTAGGTTAACCTTTTGACAGATGTTAGATTTAATTTAATTATTTTTGAAAATCATTTTATTATCTATTATGTTGCACCGAGTGACCCTATATAAGAAGCCACGGTGGTCAAAAAATAATATTTTATTTAAATTATAACTTTATGAAATATGATTATAAGCATAATTAAAACCATTTTCGGAGTCGTTTTATGCACTTTATTAATATCCAATTGGTAAATCATTTTGTAGAATGGGTAAATTGATTTAAAATTTTACTAATTACTTTATAACCATATTTTTGGGTCCACTATGTATTTAAATTGCACATTTACATTTAAAATAATTAAAAATTAATTACTATTTATTTGTACCTATATTTTAATTCGATAAAATATATCGAATTAATTAATTACCATTAAACCGGCGATTTTAATATCAATAAAGCCTAATTACATATAAATATTAATAGAGAAACAAATGCGTCAAGCTTCTTTATGAATATGCAATTAATAAATTTCATCCAATTATTTAAAATGTGTTGAATTGATAATGTGCATGGATTTTACAAATTTGTTTAAGTATTTGCATATTAACTTTATTTCAAATTATTTAATTTGGGATACATTTATTTTATTAACAATGGCGTACTACGAACATGTGCATAAACAATGTAGGTAAAAAGTAAATTCAACTACACCCTTTTATTTAATATTACGCACGACATGTATCAAAAATGTTATGCAAAATGCTATACAATTTCCTTTGCTGGACATCATTTTTTTAATAAACGAATATTGGAAAATTATGTTGAAGTGATAAAGAATTGCTAATATTTAGTTGAATAATGAATTAGATTACTTATTTGATAATGTGTTCTATTTTATTATCTTAATATTTTGAATTTATTATTAAATTTACTATTCGATTTATTAAAAACCCAATGAATATGACTTAAGTGATTTTTTTTAAATTTATTGTACCCCACCCCAATAAGATATGGTAATTTTTTCAAAAATCTGTCAGTCAGTTTTTTTAAATTAAGGTAAATTAAGAGAAAAACAAAAAAATGTAAATCAACGAATTTGTGGGTCTCATGGAGAAAATATGGATTAGTATGGCTCCAAATCTTATAGATGGTGATTTTTTTATTAATAATAATAAAAAAAGGTTTTATTCACTAGCTGAAGGTGATTCATTCATAAATCACTAGTACTAGCTGTATACCCCCGGCTTTACTTGTGTGTTTCTAAGGAAAAATAATGGATAAAGTTTTCATTTTGACAGCTGTTATTTGAGCATCTGCCATTTTGACACCTGTAATTTGGACAGTTCACATTTTGAATAACGTCTATAGGTACCTACTATATTAAAATGACAGGTCAAAATGCAGGCTGGCAAAATGACAGCTGTCAATGAGACAGTCGTTAAATTGACAGCCGTAAAAATGAAATCCCTCACATGATATGATATTCGTCAAAATGACCTCCGTCAAAATAGAGTCTTCAAAATGACAGCCGTCAAAAAAACAGGTGACTAAATGACAACTTTTAAAATGAAAAATGAAACCTGTTAAATTGACAGGGGTCAAAATGACAGGTGATTGTTGAAAAGCGACTTTCTAATGCAAGTTTCGCAGGAGCTTGAAAAATACTTTTCTCACAAGTGAAACACAATGTATTTTATACAACGGACAAATAGTAATGTTTTTTTAAAATTTAAAGCCAATTTTGTTTAAAATTTTACCTCACAACTGTCAAGCGGTTTTAACGTAACTTTTTACAAATATGACTTTTTTTGCACAGGTCGACCTGTCACTTATTAAACAGAAACGTCACTTTTCATTCGAGTTTTGCCTTGCAATTGAAAATATTTAATTTCTTAGCAACGACGCCATACGATTTTTTTTAATTTGATTGTTGGCAAAAAATTAATTAACAAAATAATTGAAAAAAAAAATAATAAAAATAATAATATTGAATGTTTCGACCGGTCCAAAGCCATTAAGTCATCCAAAACTCTTGAAAACGGTTCGGTCCAAAATTTGTACCTGTCCAAGTCATTTAAAAAACAGGACGGTCCATGTACCGGCCAGATTTATAATTTGTTTATTTTCGTTACGGACTGGTTCGAAACAAGCAAGCGGTTCTTGGACCGGTTCACAACCCTGCTTAAAACTGTCAACCTTAAAAACGGTTGGGTATAGTGTTTATTGACAGAACTAAAGTTTACAATGTTGTCAGATTAAAAAATTATATTATTATTATAAATTATGTTATAATAATATTATGTAAATTGTATAACTATTAAATTACAAATAAAATATTTAATACAAAATATTAAATAGTTTTGAGACTTAATTACTTTAATGTATAAACTATACAGTATAAAGGACTACTAATATAGTAGCTGATTATTAAAAGTTGTGGTTTTGTTACGATGATAACTGCTGCGTGATGGCGGTACAAGCGATGCTTCTTTAGCGTATTTGAAATCAAAGATAATACATATAATATATATATCCTATCGAAAAGTGTCAATAAAAATTGTATATTAAAGTTGTGCTGAAACGCACAACGTGTGGCGTCATAATTCTATTTAAAATATAATTTAATTTTAAAAGTAAATGTAAACAAATTAATGTTGTAAATGTAAACCCCAAATTACACTTGTTTGTACTTTTTGTCTAAAAACGGAATTGAAACAAAATTTTCGTCAAGTTATTACTTTAATTGCACTAGAAACCAAAGATAAAAAAGATATATAATTACCTCTGTCCCTTGTACTTTTAATTTCATGTGATCCTCTCTGGTCGTTTTGCCGTCTTTCCGTTTCTTCCAACAGTAGCCGTCCCTGCGATATCGGACTTTTTTCCTGCTGTACAGCAGCATCGAGCCACTCTTTGGCCTGCAAAAAATATGGACAACGTTAAACAAGGTACGGTTTTCTACTGACCACTTTCTTTAATTATTATCTGCCCAACGAAAGGCATATTGCCAAATCCTGTCGCTTGTTGGTGAAATGTTTTTTATTGTTATTTGTTTGTTTAGATATAATAAATTAAATTTCAGTAGTTTTATTAAAAATTATTATTTTGTAAATAATATATTTTTTAATCAGGATTTTATTAAACAATGGTCGCATACAAATTTTAATATTTAATAGTAGATATATAATATACTCATTTAATTAAGCACTCGCTCGCAAGCTCGCTCTTACCTAAATTAAATTCGTGACTAAAATGGCGTTTATTAAACTTGATACATAATATACTATTATGGTTTATTACAAAATAGATCCTAACTTTTAAATAAACCCATAAACAAATCGCAGGGCTTTGCTGGCCAGCTAATTTTATTACCACGCGAATTACGGGAAAAGAGGAATCTTTTCTTTCTCCCACTAATAACGCAATAATATATTTTAGTCACGAATTTAATTTATGCAAGAGCGAGCGAAGGCTTAATTAAATGAGTGCCTAGAAAAGTTTATAAACGACTTGCATACTTTACTTTTTTTACGACAAATACTTAATAATATCTAAAAAATGATTTAATTTAAATATTTTTATAAAGCAACATATATACAAAAATAAAGTAACCATTCCAACACATTTTTGATGTAATTTTCACCATTAACATTGCCCGTTATTATTTTAATTAAACTTAACAATTATTGATACTGTAAAATATTAAAATAACTTCAAAATATAATTATGTTAATAATAGTATATTATGTATCAAGTTTGATAAACGCCATTTTATACACGAATTTAATTTAGGCACGAGCGAGCTTGCGAGCGAGTGCTTATATTAATGAGTGTATAGAAAAGTTTATAAACGAGGTGCATACTATACTTTTTCTACGACAAAAACTTATTATTACCTTAAAATGATTTAAATCAAAAATTTGTATAGTGCGCCATCTATGAAATAATAGGGAAATCTGTGTGTCACCGTCAAATGTCACATTTTATTTTATAAACACAGATTACAAAGGTAATAAATCGAAATGTATTTCTTGAAAATTTACAGTTTTTCATAGTGAAAGTAAAGAAACTGTTTTATGAGGACTTTACAGTGGAGTCCGTGCCCGAATTTAAGATATAGTTTACTGCCGGCGAAATTAAAAGGTCAGTACAATGTTCATATAAACTTTTCAAATATTGGCGCTGAGAAACTATTTAATACTTTTGTATTGAGATAATAAAATAATTTTCACATTTAGTATTATTTTACAAGAAAGGCACTTTATTTTAACGATTGTATGACATTTGACAACTGTCAACTAACTTAAAACTAACTTCAGCCCGTGACTAAAAACCTGTTGCTAACTTCAGCCCGTGACTAAAGCGCCATAAAGCCACAACTTGTCAATGAGTATTTAAAAGGTCACTTAGTGTCATGGAAACATGTACGATAAAGGGCGTTTTAAAGGTGGGAGTAGAAAAAATATTTTATCCTTTAATTTTTAAATGTTAAAGGTACAAAAAGTGAAAGTTGTATTTATTGGAATTCCAGTTAGAATTTCTAACTTGTCCCTTGAAAATAGACTAACAATCGATTTAGAAGCAGTTTTTCACAGTAAAAGAGAAGAAAATGTTTTATGGGCACTGTACGCAAATTTTTTAACACTTTATTAGTTAAATCTCGTTAACAAGGTCAGTATACAAACGTTCATATAATCTTTTTAACTACTACTACTATTTAATATGTATTTTTGAATTTTTGAATATGTATTTTTGAATTGAGATTACATTTAGTATTATTTTACAAGAAGGGCACTTTATTTTAACGGTTATATGACATTTGATGACTGTCAACTACCTTAAAACTAACTTTGGCCCGTGACTAAAAACCTTGATAAAGCGCCATAAAGCCACAACTTGTCAATGTGTATTTAAACACTTAGTGTCATGGAAACATTTACGATAATGGGCGTTATATAGGTGGGAGAAAAACAATATTAGAATAAAATTATTAAAGAAATCCAACTGGCTTTGTGTGAGACCGTTATCGAAACTGGACATTTCTACTAAAAAAAGTTTCTGACATTTGTTTTAAACATGATGGTATTGATTGTACATTAAAGAATAAAAAATAAAACATTGTCATTTAGTTGATTAGTTATAATTAACTTAAAAATACACATATACTAAAATAAGTTATTGTGTCAAGCTAAGCATTTAAAGCTTTATGTTTACTACATAATTTTATATTCGGTTAACCGTAAAAAAAACAATTTTATAAAATTGAAAATAATTCCAAAAAACACATACAAAAATGGCGAATGCGCCGGGGTTAATAAAAATTAATAGGATTTGAAGTTGAAGTTAAAAACGAAGATATTATTATTCATTTTTTCACAAAACTTTGAAACCTAAAACCATTTAATTCGGCAATTTAAACTTTAACTTTAACTCCAAACCAACTTTCACACGAAAACTTTAACCTATCGATTCTTTTTTAGTTTTTCATTTTATGTTTGACCTTAACCATTATTGCGTCTGCTTAATATTTATAAACGGTTCAAGCAATAAAATAAATAATACGATTTTTAGATAAAACATGTATGGTGGACTCATGAAAAATGTATTGTCCAATTACTTGGTATTTTTGCTAAATAAATTTGGAGAATGGAACAAAATCAAAAATAAAAATAAGTTTGTATTTTCGCAAACAACAATTGCCAATTAGAAGAAATAGGGTTTTAATGAATAACCGTTGCTTGTGCTTCGCTGTGTACAAATTCTTTGTGGCCAACCAAACAATGATGTCCATTATTTATAAGCGTGTGTAAACAATCGTATAGAATCACGTTTTCTGGAAAATTGTGTTGCTTTTGTCGAAAAATAATAAACGTAATTTATTTGTGTTTAAAGTCAGGAGTTTCCAGTTTAAAATGTATATCTAATGAAATTTCGGTCGTATAAGCAGCTAAAAAAGTTTATTAATGTTTTAAAATAGCAAGTGACCATTACGTGTACACTTATTACCACTCGGGCTTCGGGGCGAACATAAAATGTGTCCGCTTAGCCGGCAATTACGCGACAATATTGTCGACGTAAAGTTGATATTAAATTCCGAATAAAACATCAAAATACAACTCTTATCCTTTAACTGTTTTGCACCCACCCGCCTCAAATGTTTATTTCAAATACCTTCGTTTCTGCCAAGCAATTTTTTTTAACATATCGGTACTTTTTATCATTGCTAAGTTTTTGTCAATTTTTGGTTAAATTACATTGTATAATTTTTTTATTTAGAATTTGACAATGTTAAAATTTGGGGGTTTATTTTGCAAATTCTAGGGAGCCTAAATTTATTGTTGGGTACATTGGGCAAATAATAGCATATTATGTATCAAGGTTGATAAACGCCATTTTAGTAACGAATTTAATTTAGTGAGCGAGCTTGCGAGCGAGTGATTAATTAAATGAGTGTCTAGAAAATTTAATAAACGAGTTCCATACTATACTTTTTCTACGACAAAAACTAAATATTATCTAAAAAATTATTAAAATTAAATATTAGAATAAAGCGACATCTATACGAAAATAAAGTAACCATCCCAATAAATATTTTTACTTTACTTGGGAATCTACCGGAGTAGATTTTTTTTCTGTAAATCAAAATGTATACCTTGAAAATAGACAAATAATCGATATAGAAGCAATTTTTCACAGTAACACAGAAGAGAATGTTGTATAGGCACTGTACGCAACATTTGTAACAGTTCAATCTAGTTAACTGCACTACTGCAGTCTGCAGCGAAATCAAAAGGTCAGTACAAATGTTCATAAAATCTTTTTAAATATTGGCGTCAGGAAACTATTTATTATTTTTGAATTTTTGTATCCATAGCAATTAAAATAAATAATAATTTAGTAATATAATAAAATAACTTTCACATTTGGAATTATTTAAAAAAAAAGGCATTTTATTTTAACGATTGTATGACATTTGACAATTGAAAATAACTGTTGACTGGTGTAATGACAATTTTCTTGAGTTAAATATAAGTAAATGTAAGGTAATTTCTTTTTCTAAAAGTACTCGTACTTGGAATTATAATTACTTTATTAATAATAATAAACTGGAAAGAGTCTCCACTATGACTGATTTAGGTGTACTGTTTGATACAAAGTTAACTTTTATCCAGCATATTGATAAAATTGTTAATAAGGCTATGAGAATGTGTGGTTTTGTTATTAGACAATGTCAAGATTTTACTGATATCCATGCTATTCTTATTCTTTTTAATTCTTTGTCTCGTAGCATTTTAGAATACGCATCAGTTATATGGAGACCCTCACAACAGTGTTATATGAACTTGATTGAAAAACCTCAGAAAAAAAATGTGAAATTTTTGTTATTTAAACTTAAGATTTCGGATGATATAAGTTATAATCATAAGTTATCCTTGCTAGGAATAAAATCGCTAGAAACACGGCGTATAAACTTTGATAAAATTTTTATGTTTAAGATATTTAATAATTTGATTAACTGTTCTGATATATTGAAACTATTTTCTTTACGTGTACCTACCATAAATACTCGAAATAGTGCATTAATACATATTCCATTGTGTAGAACTAATTACAGGCAATTCAGTTGTGTGCCCAGATTGGCACGTAATCTGAATTCCTGTAATATCGATATTTTTAATGTAAGCTTGTTTTCTTTTAAAAAGTACCTTATTAATAATAGTTAATTATATGTTTGTGTATTATATATATATATTTTTTCTTCTCTTTTTGTTTTGATATAAGTATTCTTACTGTATCTTTTTTTTGTACTACTTGGATTTTCTCTGTATGTACTAAATAAATAAATAAATAAATAAATAAAACTAACTTCAGCCCGTTAAGTTAAATTTGGAAAAAAGTGAGGTTAAAACTAATTGAC